TGTCTAACTAGAAATTTGAGTAGTGAAGTATTGTTTGATAAGTCAATCCTTGTGGGACGATACCCACTTACTGTGGTATTTACTTAAAACGATTCGGTGCACTTGCCGAGTAGTTATCAGCACCCACGTTCACTGTTGGTATCACCATCACTCTCTCTTCTCTAAGGTATTTCTACTGCCTCATCTTCTGCAAAAAAAAAAAATCTTTATTATTCTAATTAAAACTCTTTAACAAAAAAATATTGATGTTTGCACAAAGTTTCATAGGTTGAGAAATTTAGAGATTTAAGAATTAAAATTGGCTACGATATAAAAATATTAAGGTTTGAACTAAGATTGAATTTCATTATTCATCTTCATCCATATTTTGATGAATAAATATATAGAAATTATTTTATAGAAGTAGATGCACTTTCTTAATGTTTCCTTATATCAATTCCTCACATACAAAGTTCCTAAGAGTATTGAATAAATAATAATTTCTCATATATTTAATAAATCCTCTAGTATTAAAAACAAGAGTTAAAAAAATAATTGACATATTGAAACTTATTCCTAACATCACAACACATTGAGTGTTTTTCATTCAATTTGGTTCTAAGATTTGCTTTTCAGCTAAACCTTGAATCCTAAAATCAAAATTATATTATTTAAAATAAAATCAAGTATTAAAAACAAAATGAATTCACCAACATTCATGGAAATGGATAACTATATTTAAATCATCTAAATATTTTAGAGTTGAATATTATATCTAATCTCATGACATTTAACTGCTCATGACATCTATTACAACAAACGAAAGAAGAGAAAATGATTTATAAATGGTGTCTCAATGCTGATTCACCAAATGCGCTAGTTCTTCCTTGCTTGATTCTCTTTTTCCTACTCTTTGTATCCCTTTTTTCTTGATTCTTCTTTTTTAAAAGTGGACTTAATGAATTTTTGCTCAAGCAAGGAAGTCTTGCTCAAGCTAAAAAGACATTCTCGCTTAAGCGAGAAAGCTTTGCTTGAATGAAAATGGGTCAAAGTCATTGCTTGTAGTCTCCTTTGCCTTCTATCTTTATTAAGTTCCTGTAAATCAAGGAATTTAACAAAAAGGGATCAAGAAAAATATTCATCTCAATCTCGAAGCCAAAATAGTTGTTTAAATTCAAATTCTTCTAAATTAAAAGAAAATTGAAATCCAAATTAAATTTATTAAAGTAAATAAGTGTCCAAATTTATATTACAATTTACTAAAATTTGGCACTTATTAGTGTTATGTCAAGAAATAAAATGTTTGTTTTAAATTGAAACCTTTGAAGCAAAATACTTGAAGACATTAAAAATGAATAATGATAATGGTATATGAGATTTGAGCACTTAAGCTTTAGTACACTCAAGACTTTAGAAGATAAGAAGATGGTGAGAAACATGTCTTATAATAATCATGTCAATCAATTGTGTGAAGCATGTCTCATTGGTAAGTATATGAGAACAAACTTTCCTAAAGAAGCTGAATTAAGAGCAAAAAAGTTTTTCTAACTTATACATATTGACGGATATGGTCTAATTGATCCTACTTCATTTGGTGGGAAGACTTGTATTAATTTTATAAAGTAAAAATTTGAGACATTTGTAGCTTTTAAAAGAGTAATTACATAATCAAAGTTCTAAAATTTGATAGAAGTGACGAGTTTACACCAAAAGAATTTAGTGATTTTTGTGAAAGTAAGAAATTTGTTGTCTTCTAACGATTTATAGAATTCTCCATCAAAATGAGGTAGTAGAGAGAAAATTAGAATTATTTTTAATATGACAAAATGTATGTTAAAAACTAAAAATATGTCAAGGAATTTTGAGATGAAATTATTACTTGTAAACTTTGTTTGTCCAATCACTCTCTTATAAGGAATGTCAAAGATCAAACATGATAAAAAGTATGGAGCAGAGTTAAGTCAAGAGTTAATAATCTTAGATTCTTTGGGATCATTGTATATACTCATGTATCTGATCAAGGAAGATCCAAACTTGATGACCATAGTGTAAATTATGTGTTCATTGATTATGATGAAAGCTTAAAAGGCTACAAGTTGTATAACTCAGGCAATGACAACATAGTAGTGAGTGAATATATTGAATTTGATGAAGAAGAAACATGTAATTGGGAGATGGAAGGAGACACTTGTGACTTTTTCCTATACTTTGAAGAATGATATCAAGCACTAAATGAGTTTTCTATTCCACTTCTTTCACTAAGTCATGAAACCTCATCATCTTCTAAAGATGGTTCAAGTGAAAGGTCAAGAAAAATGAGAAGTTTTAAAAACTTGTATGATGAAACTAAAATGATAAATGACTTGTTTTGTTTGTTTGTGGGCAATGAACCTTTTAATTTTGGTGAAGATATGAATGACTAAAAGTGGAGAAAAACCATGGAGAAAGAAATCAAAGTTAGTGAGAAGAATGATAATTCGAAACTCCCAAATCTTCCTAAGGATCATGAATCAATTGGAGTAAAAAGAGTGTTTAAGAGTAAAAGGAATGCCAATATTGAGACAGAAAGATACAAAGTAGGCTCATTGTTAAAGGTTATAGGCAATAACTTGAGTTAATTATGATGAAGTGTTTGTAAGAGAAGGTCCTCAAGTTAAGGAAGATGTCATATGGCTCAAAACAAGCACCCATGACATGAAATATCTATATTGATAAATACTTTCAAGACAATAGATTTCTCTATTATCAACATGAGTATGACCTTTATCTTAAAGAATTTTATAATGATGATATTTTATATGGATGTCTTTATATAGGTGACCTTATCTTTACTTGTAATAATCCAATTTTATTTGAATAGTTCAATGAATCTGATATGACATATATGAGACTTTTGTCCTATTACTTAGGAGGAGAATAGTATCTTTGTCTCATAAAAGAGATATGCAAAAGAAGTATTAAAAAAGTTTAAAATATTTAATTTCAATCTTGTGAGCACACCTATGGTAGGTGAGTTAAAATTGTTAGAGTTCAATGACAGAGAAAATATAGATCACACGTTCTTCAAGAACCTAATAGAAAGATTGGAGTACTTAACAAGTACAATGCCTAATATTTTGTATGCAATTAGGTTGAGTCACTTCATAAAAACTTCTACATCTACTTATTGAAAAGCTATAAAGAGATTTCTTTGTTAATTAAAATGTAGAATTAATTTTTTATTATTTTATTATATTTGTAATGACTTCAAACCAGTAAAATTCTGTCATAGTGATTTTGTGGGTGACATTGATGATAGAAAGAACATTACTAGATTTGTGTTTTTCATGTGCGATTGTACTTTTGCTTAAAATTTAAGAAAATAACCTATTATCACACTTTCTACTTATAATGATGAGTATGTTATTGCAACATCTTACACATGTCATCCTGTTTAACTTAGAAGATTGTTGAAATAAATTTGCTTAAATCAAAATAACCAAAATTTACATTGATATAAATATAAACAAGAGTTTGCCAAGAACCCAATGTTTCATAGGCAAAGTAAGTATATAGATATTAAATATCTTTTCTTTAGTGAAGAATACAATAAAATTCCTCCACATCAAAATATGCAACTTCCTCGTGAAAGAATGAAATGTTTCAAAAGATTTTTTGTTGATGTAAATATAAGGAGACAAGTGAATATAGAGTTTGCAAACTTTTCTTATGGTAGAGAAGACTTTAATGATATTGATTCTTTCAATGATAAAGATAAAATGGATGCAAAATCTTGTTAGTTAGTTCATAGTTCTCATGCACCAATACTTCAAAAGGTTGTCCTTAAGCTACTTCGGCACATATGTTCATCTTTATGTTGTGAAAGAAATCAGGATAAATACTCTTTTATTATTTCTATAAAAGAAATAAGATGGCACTCCATGGAGGAGAAGATCTATATTTATTCATAGTAATTGTTATTTTCTTTCAAGAAGTTTCCCACAATATTACAAGAAGAAAATTAAATTATGGGACACAGTGAGTGATGAGTTCGAATCACTTGATGACTATAGAATTCTAGAAGTTACTAATTTATCTCTTAATGAACCAAGTTAAAGACTATGTTTTTCAATAAAGATGATTAGGAAAGAGAAAAATGGCCTTAGAGCTCATAGATATCTTTTTTTTTTGTGTGTAATACCTCTTAGTATTTATTTTTTATGAAGTGCGTTGTAATTTACTAAATCATTTTCTTATATTCTTTTTAAAAAAAAGATAATTTGTGAGATTTATTATCATATAAACATTATAAAGTTAAATAACTTGTTTAAACATAGTGTTATTAATTTTTAATTTAAACGTGGTCATGTTGATAGTATTTGATTTTTAGTATATATATAATAATTATATAAAATATGCCTACAATGTCGGGTTGTCTGTGTCTGGTATCCACGTTGGAGTTGGTGCTTCACATATTATTAGTAAAAAATCTACTTTGTGAATCAACACCTAAAAAAAAGAAAGAATATGGCAAAACCTTAGGTACGACTTTTGAAGGTGGGGACGAAAAGGCATTGAATTAATAACGACGCAGCTGGTTCTCATGTACTTTTTTTTCTTCTTTTTTTGGTCGTAGAAAAAAGTATTTACTAGTTTGTTGGTTTCTTCTTTGGATTATGTTACAATCTTAATGGCCGGTTGGGTGCATTCTCATGTTTCCTATGATTTTATGTTATGGGTTGTGGGTGCAGTTTGAATTGCATTACTTGGACACTTACTCAGAGATCTTGTTCTCAAGTTTTATTTTTTATCAAATTATTTTGCTTTAACGAAAAAGGAGACTAATTAAAGAGATAAAAATACACAGTAATTGGTATAATAGTCTTAAAATGAAGAAACCTCAAATTAAATCAATCAATATATAGTATCAAATTAATAACGAAAAACAAGAAGATCGTGAGAAAGGAGAAAATAACATCATTACAGACAAATTTGACAAAACAAGGTTTGGATCATATATCTTGTTATATGTATCAAAGTTGTCACAGAGAAGATTTATGGGGGACACCCGAAGCTGGAATCCACTTGTTCCCTGAAAGAAAAGCCTTCACTGTAAACTTGGTAGCTTGTTTAGCTGTAATGGTTTTCACACCCTTCCACTTCACCCTATTCTTTGTTGAAGCACCAGGTCCAACATTCTGAAACTCAGCATAAAATATGGTATCTGGTGCTGAGTTTCCTACCCATGGTAACCACCCATTTGAGTCAATAAAGCTTCCCAATGTGGATTGTATAAAGACTGTGGTTGAGTAATTCTTCCAGGGTCTTCCAAGGTATGTATGGACAGAACTCAAGTTCCCAAAGGGTGAAATGCTGCAATTTTGAATTGAAATTCCTGTGTTCATGTTGGGGTCAGTTTTGCCTTGTGCTGTGATTGTGTTCTGCTGGCCTTGCATAGGCACTTTGGGCAAAATGTTGCAGTTCTGGAAGACCACTGCTGAATTGCCAAAAATGAAATCAACTGTGCCATAAATGTTGCATTCTCTGTAGAATTGGCGGTTGGAATGAGCATAGAGACTGTCCTGAAATGCATCAATTTGACACCTATAGTAAACTGCTTGATCAGCACTTGTCATTAGTGCCACTGCCTGGTGCTTCTGTGGACCAGCTGTGTTGCGAAATCCCATGTCCCTTGCAATGAAATTCTTCCCAAACACAGCTTTGCACCAAACAAAAGAAACAAATGATGTTATGTTAAGATTCTAATTGCAAGGTATCAGACTTCAATTTCATGTTGAAAGTATGGAATTCTACTTTAGAGATTATTAGACCTTACACTCTGGCCACGATAGTTATCTTTTGGGCTGTGAATATTCTCCCAAGGATTTTATCATGTTACCACATATCTAAATGTGTTTAGCTATAGATTACAATTAAAAGGCTCACATAAAGTAAAATATGCATTTTTAATCCCTTGTCAATAATTAAGTACATAATTTTTATAATTTTTAAACATTAAAAGATAGGTAATTTAAAAAATATCATTTTTAGGGACTACAAATATGTTTAAACTTAACGAAAAGTGTTACATACCAAATGTTGCAGATGAAAATGTTGGGGTGCCATCTACAAAGTTAAGGCTTCCAGATACAATTGTAACATTCATTCCATCGCCAATGATCATGACATTCCATTTGGTCTTGTCCACTGTAACAGTTTCATAATAGACCCCCTTCTTCACATAAATCACAGTCCTCTTGTCACTTTTTTTGGGGACATGTTTAAGTGCAGCAGAAATTGTTTTATACTTTCCACTTCCATCTTTCGCTACAACAATGTCTGCTTTAGTCCTCAAATCTTTTGTTTGAAACAGCTTCCGGTCTTTAGAATCAAGCCACTTTGGTTCTTCATTGTGATGTGGTAAAGCACTCAACAAGCGCCTGAAGGTCACTGTGCTTGCAGCCTTGTCAAGCCATGTAACAATGGCAAGAGTGTTACTGGTGAACTCTGTAGAATTTTTCAGATTGTTTGCAACACTGGTCTTCAGTGCTGCTTCTGCCTCCTCAAAGCCGTCAATGCAAGTTTGCTGATAAGTGCCTGTTTTTTGAGCACATAGATAAACATGATCATCATAAAAGCTTTTGTAGGGAACATTTGAGGTAAAAAATTTATTTAAATTCTTAAAAATTATATGTTTAGAATTATATATTTTAGAAATTAAAGTTGTAGTGTAGTTTATGAAGGAAGATATCAAAATGGGTATATCCTTCTTTTTTATATTTTATTACGTGCTCAAATTCCACTAAGAAGAAGAATTTTGGTAATATAGCTATTAAAATGATAAAATTAAAACAGAATTTGTTTATTTTTAAAAAATAAATTTTATTTATTATATTTTAAAATTTTATAAAAAAATTTACCATGTTTGTACTTTATTTTGAGTTTGTAAATATTTATATAAGAAATAATAAAATAAAAATTTTCAAATTTTTATATAAATCTTTGAAGAAAAAATAAAAATATTTTAATTATTTTTAAAATTATGAAATGAAGAAAAAAAACAAAGTTTTGAAATTAATTAAATAAAGGATTGAATATGAGATGACAAATAAACTAAATAACAGAGAGAAAGAAAATGGGTTACAAATAAAAATGGCACTTAATTTAATGGTACATTTTCATACAAAAAAGTGTACAATTAAAAGAAAACAGAAAAAAGTAATATAGAGTAGAGCTGGCAAAATGGGCTGATCTGATGGATTGAGCCAGAAAACTTGTTAAATGGGCGGGTTTGAGCTCTAAAAAATAAGGTCCGAAATTACCTTGAGCCATTTTGGCCCGATCTGAATAAGTTCGGTACCCGATAGGGCTTTAACTGGGTTGGCCCATGCGGGTTCGGGCAGCCCGTATATTGAGATTAAATCCTGAGTTTTAAAGAGTTTAAAAGGGAATATATTTTAGTTTCAAAACTCTAAAATTACAAGTCTAAATTATATACTTTTACACCGCTACAAAAACAATAAAAAAAAGAAATCAGTAGCTTTTTACAACTTAAAAAATAAATAAAAAAATAGTATAATACAAAAATTGAACATAAAAAACGAGTGATCTATTAAGTTCTTGCAAAAATAGCTTAACATAATATGTTACAAACACTAAAAATAGCAATAAAAATAATAATTGGTTTTTATAAAAAAAATGACGTTACAAAAATAAGAAAAAAAAATAGTTGAGTTGTCAGACCAGCCCGCAGAAGCTTGTAGCCCGCATAGGGTAAGGCTTGAGCAGTAAAAATATAAGCCCATTTTTACTTTGGACAAATTAAGTCCGACCTGTTTGAACCCGCTACCCGTATCAGGTCGGGCCGAGCTGGGCCGCCCGTTTTGACAGCTCTAATATAGAGAGTATGAGATAAAATGATTGATTTAATAGAAATAAATAAGGAGTAAAAATATATATAATTAAGAGGTAGAAAGAAGAAACAGAAAGTATATGGATAAAATTGATCATATAATATAAATAAATAAAGAGTAAAAATAATGTTATAAAACACGTGTGAATTTGTTATACGAATAAGTAATTTTTATATAAAAAAATGTCTCAATTTTATATAAAAAGTAAATAAATCAAGTTTTAGTGGAGCAAAACATAAGTTGTATTCACGATATCATATAAGCTTGAATAAATATAAATGCTTATTATGAAAACAATACCTGCAGCACTCAACCAAGTTTTAAGATCGTCCAAAACATCAAGCAAGGAAGAGTTTTCCCCAGAAGACAAAGTGCTATTAAGATGATCAATTGCAAGACCCAAAAGCTCCTTGCAATTTTGAAAACTTTGCTTAGTCCTATTATCAACATTCAAGCCATTGAAAACTCCCTTGTCAGAGAAATACTGAACAGCTCTTGCAACCTCAGATAAGGCCACCTCAATTGACAACAAAAACAACTTTTCAGGTTGAACCTGACCCGAGTGCGCAAGAGAACCAAGGCTGCTATAACATGCATCCTTGTACAATGTCACGTCACAAATAGCCTTCACCGAATTGGAAAGAGCTTGAGCACTTGCATCATTGTTGTTGTCACTTGCATTGTTGTTGGTGTGTGCAACGGTTCCAAAAACAGCAGCACACACAACACCAATGAGAACTATTGTGGACAAGGTTATGATTGTGATTCGCTTTCGGTTTTTGCGGCGAAGTTCGAGCATGGCTTGGTCGGCTTCATCGACTTTTCCATAAGGAGACATGGTTGAGCCAAGCTTTCTTATCGTGACTTGTATAGTGAAGCTTGTTAATTTGTGGCAGTGTAACACTAAGTTCTGTGTCAAAATGTGCGTATATATAAAAAGGAAGAGTTGAAGTTTGGTAGAGCATAACGCGGTTTTACGTGCAAGCCACTAACCCTTATATGTGTTGCATGTTGAATGGAGTGGCTAACATGTTACACACACACGTGTATATATATATATATATATATATATGAATTGTTTAATGTTTCACTCTTTTATGATTATTATGTGTGTGTACGTTCAATACTTCCAGGGTTAAGAAACAAGCTACTCATTCGATTTAAGCAAACTCAATTCAATTTAGACTCTGAGCTCTACAGGCTATGTCAAAATAAAAAAAAAATTATTCGGTTCTTAAATTAATGTTTAGCCCATACGCGTATTTTATATTTTAAATATTTCTATGATATATACTAATCCAATTAAGAAAAGAGCTTGATATTTTTATAAAAAAGTAAGCATTTTGCAGATGAATATTACTATTTCTGGAAAAAAAAAATTATTACCAAACACTGCCCACTAATTCTTTCAAGCATATGATGAGCAGATTGTCACTCCGAGCAGCCAAATTGACCACACAAAAGCAAATAAAAGAGAGCACCAAGCTTTTCTTGTTTTTCTACTAAAGACCAAACCATTTTGTCGTATAAAATAATGAGCCCTACACTCTGTTGAAATCAGAAAATAATATTGGTTTGGGATGCGAAATTTTATAGGATCGCGTTACCTTATCCCCGGGAGGGGGAGAGGTTAAACAATCATTGTTAATCGAAATCATACTTCGGAGTATTTTTTTTTTATTTTTCAGTTTTGACTAATTTTTCTAAAACTTTAAATTAGATTTTAATTTTAATTTTTTAGTTTAGTTTAGTTTTTAAATTTTAATATTTAACTTAAATTATAAAAATTACTCATTATTAATGTCAATTTATTTATTGGCAACGAGAACTGCAAATTTAATATTATCATCCTCAAATAATATCATTTGTGCAAATTAATCTCTTATTTCTTTAAATTATTTCATTAGTCCTTCGTATAGTATAGTAATTTGTCTGACAGTTTAGTCCCTCACATTAATTGAAGGGTAAAAATTGTTAAATTTTATTGACTCATTATATTAAGTGACATATGTGATGCTACCACATTGTCTTTAAACTAAATAGAAGACAATTTAATTTTTGTCCTAATCAATTTTTTTTTAAATTTCACCTTTGTTGTGGATTTCATGTCAAACTATATTCTTCAACGTGGCAAGCAACAATCATACAAATAGGAATTTGAATTCTAATTCAAGCTTGTATGATTTTCAAAATAAGGGTTCAAATGGCAAGGCTTATTCACTTAGGTACTATGAATGTGATGGTAAAGGTATGTATAAGAGTTTTACAGACAAGCAAATCCTAGGAAACATTTCTAGATATATCCCAACTACAGGGTATGTTTTTCATTAATTATATATAAATATAATGTTATTTTGTTTGGTGGGTGAAATTAATGAAGGTTTGCAACGTGTATGCAAGAGGGAAATATTTGCTATTTTTTTTTTTTGCATGGTTTGATAATGGTGTAGATGGAGAAGAGAATGGAAGTGGATTGGAGGCAACATCTAGCACTCCAAATGTATCTTGCAAGGAAGAAAAATGAAAAAGAACCCTTACCATTAAGATCATATACATGGAAGCTAGGATGAGGAAATTGAATTTGGTCATACATTTGCTATGGTGTTTTAATTATGTTTGTAATTTGGTTAAAAAATTAAGATAATATGTTTAGAGAAAGGAAGTGTTATTTTGGATAAATTGATGACTTGATTCTTAAGTTGGAGGTGATTTTACTGTAATGTCTTTTGCTTATTGACAATGTAATATATTCCAATAATTCAAAATAAATGTCTCTTATTATTATTATTATTATTATTATTATTATTATTATTATTATTATTATTATTATCAAATATGTCAATATCATAATTTGAGTAAGTTGATGATTCTTATTATTATTCATGTAATAGTTTACTCGTAAAACATAATAATAAAAATAAACATAACTATTAATTTCGACAATACAAAATGGCCAAATATAACATATATATTGATACAAACCCTTTATGAGTATTTCAAAAAAATTGACTTAAAGTAATATCTACAATATAATAAAAATATTGTAAAACAAATATGTAAATATTTGAAGAATAAACTTTAGAGTACTAGAATTCAATTTATATTTTATTCAAATTTGAATCGAGGGATGCAATATAGATATTCTGATTTTATAGATAAATAATAATAGAGAAATAAGGAAACAAAGTCTTAATAGAGAAATAAGAAAACAGACTCCTAAATTAGTGCTTGAGTTTAAATGACAGATATTTTCCTAATATGTTATAACGACAACAACTTATTTTAATTGCATAAATGAAGAAAATGTTGATTTCTTTCAAACAGATAAATCAATTGTGTAACTTTTCTATCATGCACTATTTGTGACACTCCCCTTTAGTGCATGCTCCATTTCCATGAGTCCAAGCCCTTCTTTGAACTTCTCAAATAATGATTTCTCTAATGCCTTTATGAAGACATCAGCTGGCTGCTCTTTAGTATGAATCTTCTTCGGTTCAATTTCATTGTTTAACACCTTTTCTCTGACAAAGTGGTAATGCACTTCTATGTGTTTGGTACGCCTGTGAAATATTGGATTTGATGACAATTTAATAGCACTTTCATTATCACAAAAAAGTTCAACTTTATAATCCACCTTATGCAACATATCTCCAACTAAGCATTTTAGCCAAATGCTTTCCTGGGCTACAAGAGTAGCTGCCATGTATTCTGCCTCCGTACTTGAAAGAGCAATAGTGGCTTGTTTTCTGCTACACCAAGTAATAGCTGCTAACCCAAAGAGGAAGCAATAGCCTGAGGTTGATCTCCTATCATTTGCATCACTAGCCCGCTCTGCATCTGTAAAGTCAATCAGCTTAAGTTCTTTATTTCTTTCATACTTCAGCCCAAATTCTTTAGTCTTCTTCACATATCTCAAAATTTGTTTTATAGCTATCCAATGAGGCACCCGGGGTTCCTGCATAAATTGAGAAATGACACTAACAGAGTATGCCAAATCAGGTCTAGTAATGGTTTAGTAAATTAAATTTCTAGACAATCTTCTATAAGAGTTTGGATTCTCTAATAATGAATTTCCATGGGAGTTGCAGCCTCTTTTACTTCATTCATCCGGTACTGATTCAACAAATTTTTAGCATACCTAGACTGAGAAATAAAGTATCCATCCACAAGTTTCTCAATCTCCAATCCCAAGAAATATTTGGCTTCCCCTAAATTCTTCATTTCAAACCGAATAGCAAGCTCCCTTCTCAGTTGTATAATATGTTCTTCATCACTTCCAATTATGATCATATCATCAACATATAGAAGGATAATGATGAGTGCACCTGAGTTCTTCTTGATGAAGAGACTGGAATCTGCATATGAAATTTTGAAACTACAAAACACAAAGTATGGTGAAATCATTCCATACCAAGCTCTTGGAGTTTGCTTAAGGCCATGGAGAGCCTTTTTTAATTTACACACATAGCTGGGATAATAATTTGAGACGAAGCCTTCAGGCTGCATCATGAAAATATCTTTATCCAACTCACCATATAGAAATGCATTTCTAACATCAAGTTGCCATAAACTCCAATTCATCTTGGCAGCCAGCCAGTGAAATCAGAGTTCTAACTGTAGTCACCTTTGCTACTAGACTAAATGTTTCTTCTTAATCTAGTACTCGATGTTGAGAGAATCCTATTGCCACCAATCTGGCTTTAAATTTGTCTATGGAGCCATTAGATTTCCTTTTTAATCTATACACCCACTTACATGTAATAGGTTGACATCCAATTGGCTTGGGAACAAGATCTCAAGTTTCATTCTTCAAAAGTGCATCAATCTCCTCTCTTATTACTAGCTGCCAATTGCCATTATCTTTAGCCTCTTCATAGCTTGTTGGTTCCTCTTCTTCTTCAAGTCCAGCAAAGAAAACATGAGTGACAGAACATTGATTCGCTCCTATGTCATAGTCTTCTAAATATGTTGGAGGTTGTTTTCTTCTATTGGACCTTCTTACTTCCTCATTTGTTCCGGTTGGCTCAATGGTTTCCTTTCCTTGCCTATCAATATTGGTGTCTGGATCCATACACTTCCACCCTTTTCTACAAGAGTCATAGCCAACAAAAATACACTTCTTGGCTTTTGGATCTAACTTGCTCCTTACCATCTTTGGAATATGCACATAACATATGAATCCAAAAACTCTAAAGTAGTCAACTGCTGGTTTTTCTTCATAGAGCAACTCAAATGGAGCTTTCTCTTTGCCTGGCCATGGAGGTAACTTATTAATTACATGACAAGCACATTGAATTGCTTCTGCCCATAACTCATGAGGCAAGTTGTTGTCATGTATCCAAGACAAGCTCATTGAAGTTAAATGAGCTAGCTTCCTTTCAGCCACTGCATTCTGTTCTGGTGTATTTGGACAAGTGTATTGTCTCTTAATCCTTTTTTCATGACAAAAGGTAAAGAAATCAATGGAGTTGAATTTGCCTCCATTTTCACTTCTTAAACACTTGATTTTTGTATCAAACTCCTTCTCTATCATGTTAGTAAGTAGAACAAATTTTTGTGTAGCCTCTCTTTTCTCCTTTAGAAAATACACCCAAGTATATCAAGTGTAATCATCCACTAGCACCATAGCATATTGACACTCACTGTAACTAGGTGTTTTTGTGGGTCCTATGAGATCTGTGTGTATAAGTTCACAAGGAGTGGTCTCTCATTGCTCTTGAATGGCAATTTGTGAGCTTTCCCAAACTGACATCCTTGACAAACAGCTATCTCTTTTACCTGTTTCAATTCTGGCAACCCATCAACATACTTATTTGATGCTATAATTTGTAACATTTG